TAATTCCGTGCTAAATTTGCGATATCTTTACAAGAACAAACCATTGGATAATCCAGCTGCAGCAAGGCGTGTAATAAAGGCTGTGTTTATGAATTTTAATGAGAGATACGTAAGTTGAAGACAGACAAAAATTACCAATGAAGCTAGCTGACATGACAGATAATAGAAGTTAAACCGAAGGTGCTACTTCCATGTCAGTAATTGGGTAGCATTATTAATTCAGTATACAATCCTGGGACGGTATTGAACACACTATTTGATCGAATACGGCAGATGGTGCCCTATGTCTACATGCACCCTCCTTGTTTTTTTCCTCACAAATCTTGTGAAATGTACGATTCACACTAATTCTAACCATTGATATCCAGTTCCTCATCGACAGTATTCATTCTATTTATCAGTGGACCTGGCGAACCCCGTCTCTTATTAGCCACATGGTGATTTACATCATGACCCTTGCGGACTTCAGGAAGGATAGTGGGGATCCTAATAAACAAACAAACAAACAAACGAACAAATAAACAAACGAACGAACAAACAAACATATTTCAAGAAGAACTAGAGGTCGGAGATCTCATGTCTTCGTCAGAGGTACATCGTTCTAGAGAAATTAACATGCGTATTCTTAACTCTAAAGAACAAAAGAATCTCTGTACTATTTTTATGGTACAGAACACCCTGAAACGGTTTGCCGCAGATTATACAGATGCGTCGTCACCCTTGTTAGCCCCCCCCCCCTACGTTATTTGAGTTTGGACTGTTACTGGAAAAAAAACGTTCAAGAAATTCTTAATGTGTTGAAAGTGTCACGACAGCGCCGCAAAATATAATAAGAGAAGATGTTATAAAGGAAAGAATCAGAACAGGGTGACTACTGCTGTTTTGTTAATTTGTCTTTATGACAAATAGAAGACTTGTTTCTTGTGTTCTTTGTGTCCTAACATTTGTACTTCTACAGTTATAGTAGTATATTCCAAATCTAGGCATCTCGTTTTTCGGCCCTTCGTGTTTTTATTGCGCGCTTGCCTTAAATTTAAGGTAATTAGATTTAAGGTCTCCAGTGGACGCCATCCATAGCAATTACTTGGTGTGGCCGTAGAAAATAACCTGACATATGTCCAACCTATCCTCCCCCTGCTGAAGTTATAGTACAATCCCTCAATGTAACGTCATTTGATCCCATCCCATTATGGGGTTCCCCGGCTATATCCAGCTGTCGGCTGTCTCCAAGCAGATGTAGGTGGGGGATTTCTAAACACAAAAGGTCCTATTACGGGGACATAACGACCTCCACGACTCTCATCTTTGAACTCAACCTTGGAGACCACGACAGTAATATGCCTATCAAATTTCATTAACTTCCATCCACACATACAAAAGTTATCCTGCTCACAAGAAAAATTAACAAAATGCCCCCTGTAGTCACAACGAAACCCCCCACGAAGCTCAGTAACGAACTTAACCTTGGTCCCGACAATAGTAAGCACCACACCAAGAATTATAATCAACATTTTACAAATACTTGAGTTATCTTGCTAACAAGCCACAAACACAAAAGGTGCACTAACGTGACGCACGGACCCCCCACGAAGCCGAAACTTGTACTTGACTTCGGCCTTAACAGCGGTAATATGCCTGTCAAAAATCATGGACGTCGAATCATGCCTTCCAGAGTTATATCGCAAAATCCGCAGTTCCCCACACTCCGGCGAGACAATTTCATAGTCCTTCTGACGAAGACAATGAGTTGCTCATTGGTAATGTGCTCAAACAACTACGCAACAGTTCCTGGATTAAATAAGCTGCGTTTCCATATTACCTGAAATGAACTTGAACCTTACCATATCAAGCAAAACTAGGAATGATTCACAACCCTTGTCTTAGACCTCAGTTTTCCAATACTCTACATGCAAAAATGGTAATATATGAGCATCGATCGACGGGAATATTACGCTTCATGCCACACGTCTGTGACATAAATGACATCGGTAATGCATATTGCCAACAGCCTGTCCAATAGAAAGGTGTTAATCTGACAGTCATCTCCATGAAGTAATTCTTTAAGTTTCGAGTGGTATTTAATGTGATGAAATTCTAAGGAGCAAGCCTTCAAACAACTTGTAACTTCCTTCTGTTTCTAGCAGATAAGCAGGTAGCTGCTGTCAATTTGCACACAGCCAGACCTTGTTAGGAAAGAGAATAAAGGGGATAATGAATTTAGCATGAGGCATTAAGAAGGGGATTTCGGTAATTAAAACAGCACATATCTGTAGAGCATGCCGCAAGTGCTATTGTCAGATCGGTATTGATCTTTCACGGTCTCACTGCATCCTTTATTTATGTCTATCTCAACGGTTGGTTGGTAAAACACGGGGTGCGTTACTTCCACTACATTAAGGCAACGTGAGCAATTCTAATGAAGAGAGAGAGGAGCGCCATCCTGGATTCTTTGTCAAGGTGTAAGAGTAAAATAATTAGGAATGCTTGCATGTTCCACCCTGGGGTATAAAGTGCCAATTATTTATTTCATAAGTTTATTTTATCATTCAGAGACAACTAAATGCATTGCATCGTAAAGGAGTGTGCTATGATTTTGATCATCATTAACATGGATACTGGAAACGTGTTATGTGTACAACTCAAATACAAAGTATAATTGTCTAAGTAACATAATAAGGACAAGAACCCATCCAATGATTCTAATGATCTTTCAGAATGCTTGTATTTGTAATCAACATCAGAAAGAAGAGCATTTGGCTATGATCGCAGCAGCCAAGTAAAAACAAATGATTGATTGGATTATCCCATTATTCACGTTTTATTTCTTTTGAACCTGGCGATCAAATTGTGCCTGTGGCGTAAAAATTACCAATGAATTTTCAGCTCTGGGGATTGAATCAAAGTGGATTTAAAGTAACATGATCTTGTTAACTCGCATCTCCCGTCATTACCTGTTCTTTAAAAGTTGTACAATTCGAAAATACAAAGTACCTTCAATTCTATTAGCCGTGTTACACATGCAGCACAACAGCTGAATTTTAGTAAGATGGAAATGGGGTAGACCCACAAAGGCGACACGTTTTGGCAATCAAATATTGGGTCCAATATACCAGGTGTCGGAGATACTGTAAGGTGAACCAATTTACGATCAATAACACAAGTGTCGAGCTAGGGCTGTGAAAATTGAATAATATAGGAAAATGAAATGGGATGATTCAATTTCACATATTGGCTTTATTGCGGAGGGCGTAAAACAAAATTGCACCTGGGAGTCTAAACTGTGCCGATGGAGCTGCATTACATTAAGCGGTGCCGTCAAGGGCACACCCCCGCCTGCCGCTAGGGTGCGACTGCTGGTGATTCTGGTCCCTGTGAAGACCTCCTGTACACGTTTGTCTAACTGTTGAGTTTGAACTTGAGATATAATTGGTGAGTCTCCTGTGTCATGTTGATTAACAATAAGAACGTGTTCTGAATTGCTCAATCTACTACAGCTTTATCATAACGTTTTAAATCCCACATAAAAATGAGTAATCATTAAATTCACCCCATTCCTCTGTCAACAGAATGTGGATGCTTGTACGTTTGCATTTACTTTTTTGTCATATTTTACATACACGACGATACGTATAGACATCGCACGATGCTTAGCAATTTGTGTAATTATTTAATCATTTTCCAATCCAATCGTGGTTCCAAAAGCTACCGATACGTAACCTTTCCACGTTTCCTTGTAATGTGTTAAGTTTATGAATATAAACCTCCAGGGCATGTTTGTTAAAATTGAATGAACCGGACTGCTCCCCTGGGCTTGGGATAAATTTATGCTCTACTGCGATTTAGTGACTTTGTTCAACACCCTTGCCATAGGCAGATGGTGCCTTCATGATGAACGGCTGCATTAATGAGACGTATTAATTTGTCCACAGACATCTTCATTAAAACTAAGAAAGACAGGTTCATTCAACGACATCCCCCGTGAGAGGTGTAGTGGAAAGGACAATTTGACGGGTCCGTATCTCAAGGACTGTCGTAATTGAAAGTGTTATTTAGCAGGATAATTTTGTCTCAGAGACGGGATCTTTTATGGGTGTACAAAATTGCAATGGCAATGCCTGCATCGACCGAAAAATCGAAGATGAGTTAATGGTGTATAAATTCATGAAAAAATGTACTGTTATAACATCGAATTTGATAAATGAGCTCTTTACTTGCAAATTAAACTAAGGCTTAATCAATCATATTTAATTCCATGAGGCAAATGTTATAATTTCTCCCTGCAAATGCCTAACGTAAGCCAAAATGTGCATAGTCTTTTGTATTTTCTCAAGAAATCTTTTCAACAGGGCCATGTCTAAAGGACCCTGGGTTGCCATAACATCTAATACTAAATGTCAATTACATTCAAATGGTCATTAAAATGCTTTATTACATTTGGCAGTATTATAGTTTATCTATGATTAACATCAAAATGCGTCATGGTGTTAATTAGATTTGATTAAAAATCCCATTAGATAGCACTATCTCCGACGATTTCCGATTTCCCCGGCTTCCTTCATATTGACTGGCACGATGTAGTCATCCATTTTATCAAACGAGGGTGGCAGACAGGAATTTTCAGAGCTGGTGCGTCCGTCACGTTCGGCGGTCGCCAAAAAACAACTGCCCTCACCCCCACTTTGTTAGGAGAGGTTGTTGGTTCCACGCTATCGCATCCAGGTCACGGCTTGCGGTCCGTCTGGGAGGTTGCCAGTCGGGATACCCACGCTTCAACTGACGGACATCGCGGGACACTCATCGGTGGGACTCCGAAACCATTGACAACAACGAGCCGGTGAATCGTAGTCGAGCTCTTCAACACGGGGTTTTATTTTCATTCGGCAGAGGAAACAGCGGAGCGAACGGTTGAAGGCCTGAAAGGTTGTGTTCGACTTTCGGGAAGGTCCTGTTGGAGGTGTTCAAAAAGAGCAGAGGAAAAGAGGATTTTGTGTCTCCCGACATCTGTGACTTGGGCTGATGTAGGTAAGTGTGTTGTTCAGCAAATAACCGCAAGCCTCTCATTTCTATCTTCGCCGTGGATGGAAGTAGTAGGGCGCCAGATACGCTAGATCAGTCATAGCTCACACAACTTCATCAATAGTGCACGAGATATTAAAACAAGAGGGTTAGATGTCCTCATTTCGGTAGGCTTGCCTGACGGCAGTATATTGCACTCTCATTTAATCAGCCCGCCTACGGAACACAATCAATTTAGGCTACCGATTTAAGTCGCAATTTTCCGTGTAACCCCGCCGCTGCCCGCAAATGTCACGTCTCTCCTATCACCAGAATGTTAGCTTCCTGCCGGCTAGCCCACCCCTCTAGCGTATCGCTACGCATCAGAGGTTATGTAAAGGTATGTGAGCAGCGTAGTAAACCGGTAAGTTAGCCTGGGATAAACGAATTTCGATCGGTGGAGTTCCCAGTCGTCGGTACTTGGATCGAATTTCCAGCGCCGGCCCATCTACACCAAATTAGTAATATACTGGCCAGCGTTACTGCATCAACTATCTTTGACTTGACAGTCAAACTAATTAAGACAGCCGCACCAGACGGCTAGCTACTCGGCAAAACTGACCCGCGGGAGACCACGCGAGGGAACGTAACGTCTCCATGCCGTCTTGTAAAGATACAATTCGCTTTCCCGTGATGTAGCACAGGGCGAGAAGCCGGAATTCAATTTGGACAGCCTTTTACCACGATAGTAGGGTTGACGCATTGTTGGCCAAAGGGAAAGACACTTGATCTTTGGATCTATTTTGGGTTTCCGCCCAGTAACTGTCGCCGACCAGCCTGATGAGGCGTTTTGTTGTCAGGCTGCCATCTCTAGCCTGTGGCTGAAGTCGTTCAGGGACGTTCACGACAACGCAGGTGGGCCAGCAAAATTCTGTCAGGCGCAGCAGCAGCGAATAATGGTGACTTCGTGATTTGACGGATAGGTATGGTGGCAGTAATTTCCTTTATTAGTCCTTTCACTTTGATATTAGTATGTTATGCAGACTATGTCTATAGCTACAGTTATGTTTCTGATAGGGGTTCAGTGTCATTTGGAGAGGGCAGTACGCGCCTTCGCAGAATATCATCTTTGACCTGTACCTTGTATATACAGGCAACTAGTTCTTAAGCTATCAATTACAAAGTCATTTTCAATGAAATATTAGAATGATTATTTGTAGTTAAAAAGTGCCCTACTGCTGTTTACTTGCATTTGGGATATATGCTTACTAGTGATTTTCTACGTAAGGCAACCTATAGAATATGGCTGTAGTTATTAAATACATTGTAAATTGGGTTTGATCATGAATACTGTCGTGTGAAGAATGTTTATGTACTTTGCATTAGCCCCTCCTCTTCGTGCTATTGTTTACGTAGTGACCCGTGCCGAGAGATGAACACTCATGATCAGTGTGTACAGCAGTGGTATCAATGGTTCATACTACAGGTGCTGGTCAAAGTACACGACAGAAAGTATCTACTCTTGAAGCTAAGTGATAGCCAAATTAAGTCGATATTGAGCGAGACTTTTCGTGGTATGCTTGGGACTAAACATGCTGATAGGAGTAAAGTAGCAACATTGATAACATGATACACCTCTGTACAGTTTGGTTCCTGGTACGGGAGGCTATTATTCCCTCCTCCACGTTTCCACACGCGGCAGCTCGTGTGAGAAAAGCTGCTGTACGGTCCGGTACCCTGACGAACTGTCCTAATGTAATTATCAGACATGTACGTGTTAATGCGGAGCACCGCTGGGCTGCTCGGGATCTCACATAGATTGGGGGGAAATTGGCAAGGATGAAGCAAAGGAGTGGGAGATACCCAATTTGCATTTGCGCTGCTTTGAGAACCACTTTCAGAGTCAATACAGTAAGTTGTCCGCCGCCGTGAGATGGTAATCACCTCAGATAGCTGCATGGTGTGAACTCCTGGTTCACAGGGCTTACTTGCAGCATCAATGGACGTAACATCTGCATCGATATGGATTCATAGCGTCATGTGCAATATGTAATAGTAAAGTTATTTACTTATTGATAAATTCTTGAAATACATAAATTAGATTTCTGATAGTCCCTTGTGTATAGATTAAATAAGAAGCGTAGATATTACCCCTGACTATTTGGTTGTTGCACGTGAATTTACCATTTAGCCTGGGATTAAATTGCTCACAACATTACATGACGATTTCGCTAGTAAACAATCATTGCCATTGCAGTATGCTCCTCATGAAACATTAATCTCAAGCTTTTTGCCATTTTCCCGGAAGTCAATTTCTGATTTTTGAACACATTCCTCTGTGTGGGGGTCCTCATTGTCACTTTTGACATTTCAAATTGAAGCAGCGTAAAGATATCCCAGGGGCCCTAGCGATTGTGCATTAGTTTTATTACTTCGGCTGTCCGGAATTATCTCTCCTCTCGATTTGATGGATTAGTGCCACACAGTCTCCTTGAATTAAAGACCCAATGATAAGGTTAAGGACTTATCTGGCAATGCGCATGCCGTTTTATGTGGCTCAAAATTCCCCTTACGTCAAGCCGAGAGACGAAGCGTGACTGAGGGACTTGGGAGAATATTCTGGGAGGGGGGGGGAGTTGAGCCTTTATCTGTATTCAGTTGGTTGCAGTTGGTGAAAACTATTGGCACCCCCTTTCCGAATAGAAAATGTAAAGTATAAAAAATTCACAATATAGGTAGGAATAAAGAGTTCATGTATGCTATCTGTATCGAACTATACATTTGCATATTTATACACTCACAAGTAGCTATAATATTTCCTGATGATAATAGGCATATGTTACCAACCTTGTGTCTGAGAAAACAAATTCAGAGCTGGTACCTGCATACTTCTAGGCGATTGTAAAGAAACGAGACACATATAAACAACATAGGTTCGGTTATCAATCATCTTTGGTTTGCCTTCAGTATGCTTTGCCTTCATTTAACAAATGGACCTTCATACCCAGCCGATAACCTTCACATATGATAGCCTGTGGGGAGACTGTGGTTGACGATTTGTCTCAGCAGCATTATCAGTGAACAGCGCATTGCCATTATCTAGCTATATATGTGTTTCTTAGTGATACATGGAATATAAAAATATGTAGAACATATTAATACAGACAGGATATTGGTGTACATATTTTGTGTTTTTAGATGATTTTACGGATTGTTTGCTAACGTGGCTACTTCTTACAATATATGAGATTCACATGATTGGTCTGTTATTGCACATATTGCACAGTGTGACGGTATGCTTGTGATAGCGTTACTACCCCCAGCAGTAGACATGGTAGCAGTGTGCCCACGCCTACAACTGGTCCTGAATGACCAATGTGAGCAGAGCCGACCTGCAGCAGACTGGAACCCTCATTACCCACACTAATAGGACGCAGGGAAACGTAAACATTTTAATTGAGGTTATGTCAGTGAGTGATGACCAGGCTTTCTGCCGCAGTTGCAGCTCAGATTTTTCACGCCCCCGACTGTTGCTGCTAGCTGCCGGTCTCATACTGACGCAATGGCAATGGCTACCGATGTGTACGGGTATCGTATGTCAACCCGACATGCTTTACATGATTCCGCGTATGTACTGTCTGGACATCTATATACAGACTGTCACCCAAACGAAGCCGTTGTTTTTGGTGCCATGTACGTATCAGCAAATCCGTAGAAGACCTGTCTTGAAAATGTTAAAATAGGATGTTTTCTGGCCTACGGCAATGCTTGAGCATACCGACAAAATATGCACTCCTCGGTGCAACTGTTACCCCGAAGCATCCTTGACGCCAGTGTAACAATCGAACGGAGATATTAATGCCAGAAGATAAATCCTCAGAGGAAAAGTCGCTGTTCGTAAGAAATAGCCAGCAGCAATCCTCAACGTGTTCCTACCTGATAGCCTCTACCTACATTTCCCAATAGGTTCTTTGGACATAGTCATATTCATGTACATTGTATGTCTAGTTTTCACACTTTGCTGTAGATTGAAGCTGAGAAACCTTATTGAAGTGCATGCATGCGCAGCTTGGCGTGGGATGTGGGCTTGGGCACTGTCATATAAACGCGTAGAGAACTGCTTACTCTGGCTCAGTGGGTACGGTAACATGCATGACCTTTAGCCCCCAATGTTTTGAATACCTTTTGCATCAAGTATCGTATAACAGGATGGAATTCAAAACAGTACTTGACGTGTTGACATTAACAAAATGAATGCTAAAAATGAGATCCTATTTTCATTGCATTGCCGTGTACATTTAGGCCTGTGTATTTTTTCTATCGATTTGTGAGCACAAAAACCGAAGTAGCTGTCTCCTTGTGGCTGTAAATGCCTGCAGGGAGCAGCACCGTGCAATCTTCTACATCAGCGGCACACCAAGCCACTTCCATTTACCATTTGTTATTCCAATCACGCCTTGAGCAATCTTCCAAAGTATACCCCGCCCATTATGTTATTGCGTCCTGAGCTAGTGTGGGCATAACAATTTTCTCGACTACCTATTCCTCATTATTCAGAACACCTGGGCTTCATACTAGGTGTGACTTTAATGAAAACCACCTCCGGTCTGCCGGTTATTTGGGCAGCTGTGACTTTATGACAGAGTACGGCGCGTCATTTACGACTACCTGTAATATATACCTGCCATGCAGCACTCCATACCGTGGTCTCTCTGATTTATGAAAGAAAACCGCGGATGTCTCCAACACATTCACTGAATACGAATATACTACTAGTAATGTATTTCCAGATACAAAAAACACAACCCTCCCCGTACACAATATTCTCCAGTTGCTTAGAGGCGATAGCATGTCACTGAAACTGTTAAGTCACACTGGAGGCGATTCTGACTTGCAGCTATAAACCGTAAAGCACGAACGCTCCCTCTGGTAGATACTTTACAGCTCTGCATCGTTACTCCTGTAGTTGAGTGCCGGAGAGTGGTTTTGCTGAAGCACACAGGACCTCCAGGGTACAGGCACATCAT